GGAGTACATCTACCACAGAGGGACTGTATATATAAAAAAAAAAAAAGAACATGACCTAGATATGAGAACACAAAGAGGAAAAAAAAAAAACAGAAACACAACTTTTGAGGATTGCCTGATAGGTGGGGTTCAAGTGGCAATATTGATTCTTGGTAGTGCACAGAAGATAAACCGTACCTCATAAAGGAGCTAAAAACATCGTTACCATTGCCCACTCCTGATGTTTCTCCCTTTCTGTTATACCAGATCCAAATCTTGATTTACAAATGCATGCAGAAGGCTGAATTTGAGTCGGCATTGAAAATTGAGCTTCTGCTAAATACTTTCTTCATGTGGAGAACGGCAGTGGTTTGTCTTATATGTAATATATTTGAATCACACTTGTAAAATATGTATATATTACATCGCTTAATTTTAGAATAATTTTAAAGGATTGCAGTACCACAGGATGACATTTACAGTCTTGCCTTGAAGGCTTCCAGCTAGCTTTGACATGTCTAGGGGTTATAATTGCTATCCTGTGTAATTCAGATCTGTCTTCATCTTAGATTATATATGCTCTGTTATCCAAAAAAAAAAAAAAAAAGAGTATTCTATGAAGAAAAGGAAGCTGTGTCAAATGAAGACTCACTGTGTAGCACAGTTTTTCCTGCCTAGGAAATATTTCTATGTGCTCCAGTACTTATTTGGGGAGGTGGTCTTCAGAATCTGTCTGTAGGACATCATGTTGCTTATGGATCTTCCCATTCAGGTTGTTGCGACTCATAGAATCATAGAATATCCCCAGTTGGAAGGGCTTCACAAGGATCATAGGGTCTGACCCATGGATTTGAGGAAGTTCAAAGGAAGTCCTTCAGAGAGAGAGTCAAGGGTGGTGTTTTTCCCTTGGTTAGGATTGTTGCATGTAAATGGTGAAGGCCTGAGAATCAGAAATACTACATTTAGGTATGGAGGTGTGTCTGTTTTTCTCCCATTTTTCCTACAAGGTGAGCTTAAAAAGTGAGAGACAGCAGTATTTGTTGGTTTTCCTGAATTCTCCTCTAGAATGTATTTTGCAACCATGTATTGAATATTGGATCTTAGACCTGGAGTTGCAGCTAATGTTCATCACTGCTTACAGCTAGCAAACTTTGGGGAATTCTTTGATACACAGTAAATTATTTTAGCCCTCCATCAAATACTGAAAGATTTCCTCTCACTACGGAGAACCTCACTTGCTACCAGGAACACTCAGAACATCTGATGAGAGCTAATTCCTTGCTTTGCTGTCCTAGTTAGCATGTTATGTTAGCATACAGCAGGCACTGGTAGCTGGAGAACTGTGTTCCCTATATATCTATGGAGGTTTTTTCTGCTGCTGTGTAGTAGGAAAACGCTGATTTCTTCATACTTGTGTGGAGAAGATATCTGGCCTAGTTCTTGGGATTTCAGCTTCAAGTTAGTAAGGAGTCCAGTTCCCTCCTCTAGATACTGCAGGTTTCCTTGGTGAATTTGGTTAATTCTTTATCTTTTCTTTGCCTCCTTTCCCCTCTATGAAACAAGATAAAAGCATGTGTAGTACCAAATGTGCAGAAGGATGTTGTCAGATGCTCAAATGAAGGAGGGTGTCCAGCAGAGATTTTAGGAATGTTTTTCCTCTGCTTTTGATCCTGTAGCAATTTCAGATGCATATACATGAAGTAACAGTTTTTGTTCCTTAATGCAGTGATAATCTTAGGAAGAAGAGTTATAATTCTCTCACTTCTGAACTAGTTAGTATTGCTATGTGTTTCCTTCTAGAAGCATTAAGTTGCCTGGGAGCAAAAAATCTGTATTTCTCCCATTGTTCCAGTGGTAGAATGTTCCAATCCAGCCTTACAATCCAGGAATGCACTATGTTAATTAGTTATTATGCCACCCAGTCAATGCAAAGGAAGTCAAGAAAGAGACCACTTGGAAACCATTTGGAAAGAATTAGTTTCGTGTGGATATTTTAAGCCTTTATATATATGTTAAGAGCAAATGCAGTGCTCTGTTGTTCTCAGACTTGCATGAGTTCTGATTCTCAGAATTGCTAACTGTATTTCTTTACTGTTGTTTTCAAATTGCTCACGAGCTTCTTTTGGCATACGTTGTCCAATTTTATTTCTTAAAAGTAAAACCTTAAATGAACCATTCATGAAACTATTTCAGTCACGCTTTCCTAGAAGTGTGCTGCGTTTCTGGAAAAGTCATTTCCTGCTTTTTTCTTAACCTTTGTATGGATGCTGATAGCATGGAATTGGATTTAATGGAAGGTGATTGTTCACTAGGAATGACTCTGGGAATTAGTATTTGCTATTTGTCAAGGAATGGCATAGAAAAACACAAAGCAAGATTAGTAGGGTTTTATCTTTGACAGCTGTACTATGGCACCGAAGTTTGCATTTCACTGGGGGGTGAGTACTGCTCCTTCTCCCTGCGCTGCTCCATCCATGGTCTGTGTGCATGTCTGGCATTCTAGCTGTACGTGTCTCCATTCAGTGCAATTAACAGTTGCTTCCACTGTAAACAGTTCCATGCTTCTTATATGGAGCATATTGTGAGTTGTTCTCAAAAAAGACAGGTTTTATTGTACCAGTCAAATGAAAACTTGGCTCCAGAAATTTGAAACCATTTTTATTTCTTCAGGAAGTGGATTTGAATGACACGTAATGCAAACTTAGTGATGGACAAGCCACACTAGATTCCAGAGAAAAAAATATTTCACTCTTCTCATCAAACCTAGCTTAAGTTCTCTGGACACAGCTCATGCTGTAGTCTCCTTGTGTTTGAGGAAGGGCTAGAAGAGCTGCATTGAGGCTGTTCTTAAGCTCTTCCTACTCACAGATGATTCAGGTCCTTTCGCATCAGTTAAATTGTCATTTTCCTGTTTTCATATAATAAGTAATTTTATTTATTTATTGGTATGTCCTGTAGAAATATTCCAGAATATTCCAAATTAGACTGTTCTGTTGAAGTTTTGCAAATGCAATACTTGTGCCTGATAAAGGATAGCTGATACATTGGATGACTGATATCTTGCCTAGTTTATGTCTAAACTGAGACAACATAAATTCTTCAAAAACTCATCATGTATCATGTAGATCGTACAGCAGAAGTTATTACACTGAAGTAATTCAATTAGAAAGTTGTAACAGGTTGGGTTTCTTTTTTTTTTTTTTTTTGAGTCTTCATTAAGAGATACAGAAATAATTCAGTTTATTCCTGAATTCTGCGGATCTGAGCAGCCTGGTCTGGTGGTTGGCGACCCTGCACATAGCAGGGGGTTGAAACTAGATGATCATTGGGGTCCTTTCCAACCCAGACCATTCTGTGATTCTATGATTGTTTCTCAGAATGTGCTCATTTATTCCTGGAATTCAGTAACACATCAGCAAGCTGTAATAAAACTGCATATATATGTTTTTAATGACCGTGCTTTGAATGTGTTACATTTTTAGCTTAGAGGGAAGATTAATGATTATACAGTTTTGTATAATGCAAGTAGCACATTGTAGAGACATTTTATTTCTTCTTAAGTCTAATGGTTTCAAGGGTACTGCTGGTTTCCCTAATAGTCTGAAAAAACTTATTGATGTTTTAAATTCACTTCAGACCATAATGTTTGGCAGAGATAAAGCGAATGTGGGCAGAGACAAAGAAATGCTTATTACGGTTGTATACATCATTGCTTAAATCATACTTTGAAGTGGAAATTTCAGTTGGCTGGAGTTGTGGCAGTTGTCCAGATCTACTTTGGAAGACAGGTACATACATGGGTGTTACTAAACATGAGAGCAGGCACAAAGCTCCTGTCCCTTTGTGTGTAATAACCAGCCATTTGTACACAAAAATAATCTTTCCAAGTACAGTGCTTTTGGTGTTTCATGGCATAGAGGAGCTCCTGCTCTGCAGCTGTGTTTGCAGTCGCACTGGACACGCTGTGTTCCTGTTGCTTTATTTTGTTGCACTAGGTTGTGTTTTATCAATTTCTGTAGCAAGTAGAGAAGTCTCTGAAAAAGCACCTAATAACCTGAAGTTAAAAGGCTTGTGTAATCATTTTGTAAAAATTGAAAAATAAATTTCCAAGCAAATGAAACCTCTTTCTCCGATTTTGCTTGATAAGAAAGACATGACTTAATTAATTTTTCTTTATTTTTGGGACAGAAAATTTTCATCCTGAAGTTCCATTCTGGAAAAGTGATAAATCTTTAGTAACTTGTATGTTATAATATTTGTATGTTCATACCTAGGCAGCATACAGTTATGTCAGTTTTTTATTAATTTCTTTAGGAGTTGGAAAACTTGGATTTAGAGAACACTGTAAGAAATATTGTTCTAGAAATCTGTTGACATTCTAAAAGCACCTGTTATAAAAGCTGGTAAATGGTAATTCAGCCTAATAGCTGGGAGAACAATGGCACATTGCTAACTTCTTTAAAATTCATAAATGAATGAGAAACTAAAATAAGCTGAAAAAATACAGTTATGACACTAATGTGTGCTTTGTTCATTTATTTGACAAGTGTTCTTGTTCTAATTATGTAGGTTCCAAATATACCGGTAAAAGCATTAGTGAAATTAGATTTCATTAATTTTCCACATACTGAGTAGTTAAAAGAGCCTGCTTTCTTCTGTCTAAATGTGGCACGGGATGGTGTGAATGGATGAGGAGTTCAGTGAGGATGCCCTGACAGTCCTTGAAATGTCATCAATTCAGTTTAAACCAATCTCTTAGCCTCTTTCAGAAGTCTGGTTTTAATTCAGAACTCATTTTGAGTAATTTTTTGATGAAAGGTGGGAGCTATTTCTTTTCAGAGACCAGGGTAATGTGCTGTGTGCACTGTTGTATGTGTAAAATGTTATGGAACTCCACTGTTCTGATCAGCCAAGAGAACATGGCAGCTATTTAAGCAGAAACAGAAAGGATGTTTAGTACTGTTTAAAATGTTAAGAGCATCTTTCCTCCCTGTTATCTAACTCTTGCTGTATTTGTTCAGCTAGGATTGTGTGTTAGCAGAGCTTCAGCGTCTGTCCTCAATCTCAACTGCTGCCTGGTCCTGCTCCCAATGTGCCGCATTCTCTTGGCCTTCCTCAGGGGATCTCAGAAGGTGAGTACTGTCCTCGTAACTCACCAGTTAAGAAGTAAAGTTCCCTGGTTTATATTGTCTAAACATAATAAGAACTAAATGTTTTACCACTGTTTATTCTACATTATATGCCAGCATGGTGCAGTAGCACAGATGTTCAGGCTGGATCAGATTCTCAGCAGCCTGACTTAGCTGTAGGTGTCTCTGCTCATTGCAGGGAAGTTGGACAGGGCAATTAAAGGTCATCTAGTCCAGTTCAAATAATTTTATGATTCTGTGAAATTCAACCTCAATTCATGACCTCATTGCCAGTAATGCCTTGGCTGGCATTGTCTGGTTTGATTGGACTTATTGCGATGAAAGTTTCTTTAATTCTTCCTGGTAGGATGTGAGCTTGCTGAGGAATTTTGACCAGATGAGTTCTGTTCCTTTCCCAACTCTAATGTAAAAGAATCTGTGTCCCCGCTACTGCTGTAGTAGAAGTGTGGTAGAGTTCAAGAGCAAAAAAATTCAACTCCGTATGACTTGAAAAGTGCCACTGGAGATAAAAATACCCAAACTGTTATATTAGTTATCATGGGAGGAAAAAAACTTCTGGCAAAGCTAAGAGGGCTTCTTTTCTATGCATGTATTCAGTAACTGAGCTTGTTTGTGATTCACAGGTTACTATGAGAGAAATACAAGTAATGATTTTGGGGAAAGTGAATGTTTTCTAGATGGCTGAAAATTGAACCCACCAGTCCTATTCATCAGTACTTACAAGACTCGATGCCTGTAGATGCTCACTTGAGGAGTCAGTGACAGTACAGCAATTAATGTTAGAATTTGGAATTTTAAAGGCAAAAGAGATGTTACTTTATATGCACTTAACATTTTTGTAGCATCTTTGTAACTGATGAAACTGAAAGTTCTTAATCAACACCTCAAAGTTGTCTTATTCTCATCAACCTGTAGTTTTTAGATTAGGTGCTATGCTTACAAGATTATTTAACATAGTAAAAGCTGAAGTTACTGTTAAATCCCTTCAATTGCTGTTAGTATTTTTTTTCTTGCTTTGTTTTAGAAGAGACATTGATTGAATTCTTCTTTTATTAGGTTGCCAGCAGGAAGACCAGAAGGCTGATAGACAAAAGTAAAACTTTTCATGTGACATGTGGTGTTACAATATGCACCTTTTCAGGTGAGATCTTACTGTTCTGAGCAGTACCTTCTTTGAGAATATGTTGAACAAGGCAGTATTTTGTGGTTTTTCTTGTACAGTGCATTTGGGGGTAGTCTTGCTCTGTGCTTTCCTGCCTTAAATTGTGAATGCTTTCTTAGCTGTCTGTGGGTTTTATTTTTCGTTTAAACACATGAAGTTATGATCTAGATCTAAAGCTTTCCTTAAAATTGCAGGAATTCCAAATTTCCTTAAAATTTGGAAGGAAATGAGATCAGGTCAGAATCTGCCATTGTAAGTGATCCTAGATGGTGGTTCAGAAATTTACATGAAGAGGCAAGGTACTGCAGAGTGTTCTGCAGTGGAGACCGATTCCCCATTCAGTGAAGAAGAAACATTCCTTAGTGGGCATCTTGCAATGTTATTTCTCAGCTGAAGCATTTCAGTGAGAAATTATTGCTATAGTGTGAAAAAGTCAAAAATACATACAACTGTCTGCTAGGAGTATCTATTATCTTCTGTAATCCCTGATGCATCCTTCATAGTTGATGGGATTGTTACTTGGCATCTGCGGAGCCACTTCTGTTTTGTTCAGAGCAAAATACACCTCTCGTTGATCTCAGTTTTCATTTGTGGCTTTTTTATTTGTTTTAGTCTTGCATGTTGCTGCTCATCTGGTGAATGCTCTTAACTTCTCTGAGAATTACAATGAAGATTTTCTGGCAATAAATGCAGCAAATTATCGTGGTGAGGTGAGTCAGCTATCCTTCTATAATTTGAATTTAAATGCATAACTTAAATATTTGAGTGTTGCTGTATGCAATTGCTTTGTACAGTCCATCCTGTGAGCTACACTATATAGATCACTGCTGCTTTTTGCACTGAAAAAACTGTTGTATGGATTGCTGTGGGTTTTATTCACCTCTGTACAAAACATGTTTTGACAATCTTGTTAAGCCAGCAGTATTCATACTTACTTCGCTAGGAGGTAGATAATGCTGCCACCAAGTCCTTTAATCTTGCTCTTCATTCTGCTCTTTCCTACTTCTCTCTCTTTCTTGTGAGGAGTGAGCTGGAAGGCTTCTGCTGCTGTTTTGAGGGAGCTACATTCTGCATTTCCAGTGTTGAGATTGTAGTGCCAACGTGTACTGGGACTGTGAGAACAGCTGAGACTCGAGATTGATCTGCACTTCTAAACTGCAGTGGGAACTGTGCTAAGTGTGGAATTACTTGTCTGCATCAACTGGGCTGGAAGCTAATTTCTACTTACAGAAGTCTGCCCGTGATGCAGATCTTTAGAAGGCATATCAGAATCCTAGTCCCCTTCTGCATTTGGCACTGGAAATGTGCAGATTTCAGGATTAAGATTGAAATCCAGAACTTTTTCTTCCCTGGGCTATCATCTTGTTTACATTCATTCTGGTCTCAAGTCTTTATTTTCTACCAAATTCATTGGGAAGGATTTAAAATTATCCCATCCCAGCTGCATCCTTTCCTGAAAAAGGAAAACTCGAGTCAGCCTAGGCTCATAAGGACCAACAACCAAGGTCTTTTGCTCCCTGGGTGGATGACCTAATTCCTAAGCTATGCTATGGGAGGCAGACATACCAACACCAACTGTTGTGCTGATTGAACTCAGGAGTCTGAGTGTGCTAGGAGTGGTCTGGTAGATATAGTCTCATCAGGAAGGTTGTCAAGAGCTTGCCTCAGGGGAGAACACACCAGGGTATGGATGGCAGCCTGTGCTAAACAGACTTAGGAATTTTGCAATAGAAAATGGAGATGAAACAAGTTTTTAGTAACTCTGGGATGAAAGGCTCCTGGATTTTAGGTACTTTAATAGCTCTCGAGCATTTCTTCTTGAATTCCTCTTAAATGTATTCCATTAATTGTGATGAGCAGTCTGGATGCTACCAGCATCCTGTGTTTGTGTTTGGAAGAGTGTGCATGTTTGGATGCAGATGATGCTTAGTTTTTCCTGATTTGTATGAAAAGTGCTCATTTCCCTTCACTGCCTTTTGCTACAAGTTTGCTTGTTAAAAAAGTCTGCAGTGAAGACAAATTTCATGAGACTTAAGATCTGGGGAGTGGGACAGTTTTCTGTGAGGATGACAAATCCCTCATCCCCTCCCAATGAACTTCTCTGCCTCCACCTTTTTGCTTGTGAAGGACACAGGAGCATCTGGCCTTCTATTGTCACCTCCTTAGAGGTCAGTCTTGCTTCAGTGGGATCCACTGCATATCACTTGGTGATGTAGTTGGCAGTAAAGTGCTCTTCCATTTAACTTCCAAATCTCTCACTCTGCTGTTCCTCTGTCCTTCCAAAAGTATGATGTAACTGAGTATAGTTAAGCTTTCAAGAAATAATTATCTGCAAAATTACCTGGGTCCCAGCTTTTCATAACATTGTATTTTGTCTTTGCTCAGGAAATGCGAAGACAGAAGTTTTAGTTTATGTTGAACTGCACACTGCAACACTGCAATAAACAGTCAATAAACTGTCGTCAAACCCATTCCTTCATCCAGAATTAGAGACTACTTATGCTTTCTACTGTGTGTGAGCTGTATGAGCTACATATGAGCTTCTTTTTTTCCTCACATTATTCACATGGATATAAAATTATTTACTGACCTTTTTTCCCCCTAATTGTTTTTTAGGACCCAAGGAAACTGCTTTTTACTACTGGTAAGTCTGTTGCAAAGCAGAAAGAGAAAGTTTGCTGCTTTTCTTCATCAATCTCCAGACAAAACAATTTATCTGTTTGCATGCTGCATTTGTTGTATCTCAGCAAAACTATGTTGTTTGTGTTAATATACCCAGGGTTTGCTTACCCAGCAGTCATGAGGGAGGAGTTACATAAGCCTCTGTAGTAGGATGAGCAACATCTTCAAAGCTGTTGTTGTCCAGATGAGTCAGTAGAATATCATTAGTTTCAAACAGAGATTCTGCGTGATATTAAAACCAAATTCCTAAATGATTCAATTTCTAGAAAACAGAAACAAAACAAAAAAGCAGTCTTCTAGCTTCAGCAGGTTTATTAAAAAGTTTTTTGGACTTCAGAGAAATTTAAGCCCACTACTCAGCTATCAAGCTTCAGCACTTTTGAAGTGTAAATAAATGAAGAGGTATTTGGGGCAGGAATTTGAAAGAGAGCAACATTTTAATTATGGGCGGGTTAGGTAAAAGCCTGAGCTGTAGTGCTTTGCTACTGCATAAAGGTCTTTCCTGATGTTATATCTTTCACTCTTAATTTTAACAAATGCAAAACTACTGACTTGGTAGCATTTAAATCAAGACTGAAAGGAATCACTCTGAACAGCAGTGAATTTGGGTTACTGAATAGGCTTGTAAATGTGCCAGTCTTAATAAGTTTGCCATTTATTAGTGACTCTGGGAAAAGTGCTTTCCAGAAACCTTAAGCAAGGTTTAGATGAGTTTAGTGGAAGTAAAAAAGTGAGATAGTTGAAATTGATGTTACTACAAATGAATTGGATATGTTTGTGTCAGAGGGGAGATTGGTTGCAAGCTGCAAATCCCACTAGATTAAGAAAGAAGTGAACCAAAAAATATACTGAATTGGAAGGGAACCACCAGGATTGTCGTGTCCAGCTCCATATTCCACAAAGGACTACCTATAAGGAAGGAGGCAGCAGGAAGAACACACATTTTCTAATGCAACTGTTTTTAATTGTAACCTTTCCATGGAAGGATAGAATTATGTAGTCTATGCAAAAACTTACACTGATCGTAGGCCCAGGATTTTTCTTACAGCTTGTAAAAGCTGAGGTTGGATTTGAAATGCATCAGATTTTGGTTATAAGACTTCTCAGCAATTGAATGATGCATGGTTATGAAAGGATAAGATTGAAAATTGTCTCTTTATCACTAGAAAGTCTAAAATTGCAATTAATTATTTTAAACTAAAAAGGCTAGCCTGTTCTTAAATATAGGACATGATCATTTGAAAAGATCCTGAACCTCCTTAAATCTGGTTTTATTGTTGTACTTCCATGAAATCAGTTTGAGACGCTTATATTCTGATGCTAAAAAGATAGTTACATACCATTGTGCTCAGTGATTGGCCTAGCTGACTTTGCTTAAATCTAAACACATGGTTTTTAGACCAGGAACTGTGCTTAAAAACTTCTAAGAGTTTACATTCTTCAGGAAGTGAAATGTTTTGACGTAATGCTTCATGGCTTCTAGGTTCTTAGTTCTCAATTCAGACTCTTAGTTCCTTGGAGAGCAATTTTTATGATAAAGTGCTCATCACCAAAGTGTAACTCCGGTTGGAATTTGTCCAATCTGTCTTTAGGCAGATGATATACTGTACTTTTTGAGCAGGGTTCTACTTTAGGATGAGATGAATCATATCCTAGAAAAACTTAATTCTCTCCTTTGTCTGAAAATGGAGCCCAGGATAGACTAGTTCTGACACTGGAGTTCGTATTTGAGCAGATGAGTCCAATCCTTAATTTTTTTAACCTTCTTCAGTTTTGGCTGTAGATCACTCTCACAGACCTTGCTCTACAGGCAACAATTTCAAGCATATTACAGTGCCACAGAGAATAATTTCAGGCTCTTTCTCATTCCAGGATGAAATGGGTTGGCAAACAATTGCAGTGACAGCTTGCACTGAAATTGATTTGTTTGAAATTTTGTCCCTGATCAGGTTTATAATTGTAGTGTTCAACAGAGTTTGGAGTTTGGAATAAAAAAGAAATGCCAAAACTTGGATAGTCAGTCTTACAAATAAAGATACAGGATTAATTCTTACTTATCAGTCTGGTAGATAAGTATACCTCCCCAGAATTCAAATATAAGTTATATAATGTTTGTTTTAGTTCCAGGTCTGACTGGAGTCATTATGGTTTTAGTGCTATTCCTAATGTGTACAGCATCTACATACGCCATCAGGTAAGACATAATCTGATCATTATGCTGAAGAATGCTTTTTAAATAATCATATTCTTACACAGATTGGAGGGAATGAAGGGCAAGTGCAATATGAGACGAGAAATATTTAAATGAATGTTAAAAATACCAGCTTTCTTGCCTTTTTTTTTTTTTTAATGTGACTTGCAAGCAAATTAGTGCAGAGAATTTTTAATTACAAAAACTGATTAAATTTTCTTCAGAATAAACTTTTTTTTTCTGAAGGACACACACAGATAGAAGTCTAGAACTTTACAGATTTCTATAATTCTTTTATCCTGTTTGTCTGAGGAAGCAGAAAACTAAAACAATGCATAAATAGCCTCCATTGGAAAATAGTGACATCTTCATCTTAATTATTTTCACCAATTAATTGTAAAATAACCAATTTTTTTAAACAACCAGCCAAAGCAAAGGAAACAAAAACAGAACTGTGCTACCAAAGTAGAATGCAGTTTTGTTTTTGTTTTTTTTTTTAAGTTCTTCAACTAGACTTCTGGTTATCAAATATGTTCTTCTTAATGTAGATGATACTTTAAAAGGTGCAGTGCATTACTGACTCAGAATAACTGTTGGGATTCCTCCTGGAGGTTTGGTCCCCTGGTGAGTTCATACTCTGCACCAACATTATAGAATATGTATTGTTCATCAGGTGAGCAGTACCTTCAAGGATCTAACCCAACATAGTAGCCTTTTATAGGCGTGTGTTCTGCTATTGATACAGTCTTTGGTGAATTAAAAGATTGGCTGTGAATACATCATCCCAGTTCTGCAAACACTGCAGGATATTTTAATTCCTTGTCTTCAAACATAGGAGATGCTCAGCTGCTGTGAGCTTGATGTGTGGTTTTGAACCATGTTGAAATAATGTATTCTCTTAGAAGCAGTGTTACTGGGTGCTCAGTCAGGAGAGCAGTTCAGCAAATGCTTCTGTATTCCTCCTAGCCAGGGGTACTTCCACACTGAGATCCTTATGAGGAACTGGAAGGTACAGAAGTACAGGATAAAACTGCTACATAAAGTGGCAGACACAGTGGCGTGTTACATAGTCCACACAGGCTGCTCTTCTTGCAAAAGAGAGCCAGTTCAGGGAGGATGGAAAAATGAAACAATTACTTCACGCTGCAGCAGTGAGCCAGAACAGTCTTGTTTTCTCCAAGGCCATTAGAAACTAGAAAAAAGGAAACAAGCCCCCAACTTTTACTGAGGTTTGGGAAACTTGAGGAAATGTTTGCAACTGCATGCATGTCTTTGGAAACAATAATATTAAGGTTCATGCAACAATGGTTTCCAGATTTCTGAGTTACATCTTTGCTATTTCCTTCTTCGATTACTCTAACTGCAAATGTGTTTTTGTGCCATCTAGCCAACAGAATCAAAGCTCTGAGCAGATCAGCATCTTCTATTACTTAATCAGTAATTCTTATTTAAAGATTTGTTCTGGCTTCTCTCTCAGGCATATGGCTCAAGCTTGTCTTTGTGGTCTGTTTTGCTAAGGAAACGAGCTTCTGTGTGCATCTCTCTCTCTCTTCTCTATTTCTTTCCATGTGGATTCTCAGGTGCCTAACAATGGCTAAACTCATGCTACAGTTTTTAGGAAAATTAATTATCGGAAACTGAGATTTTTTTTCTTGATTGAAGTTGTATCAGATCATACTGTCTTGGATTTCAGCCCTAACACACTCTTGCACACTGAACTCCTTAATCATTGGAGTCTTCCTTCATATGTTCTTCCTTATTTTTTTCTGTTCTTGATTTTCATGTCATTTTCATGTCTTTACCTGTTCAGGGAACTGTGTGAGTAAGTACTGAGAGAATGGAATTAGCTCTTAATGGTTTGAAAGTGGGAAGTGAATTCTGTTCAAAAATTTTTTACCATGTCGTACCTGAGAATTACATCACCATGTTTTGGTTCAGTAATTGTTTATTGGAAGGCATGTAAAGTTGCTAGAAGCTGCAATTAATCATGTGGATAAATGTTGACATTTTAGCTAACTTTCAAATTAATGTTGTTCAAGATCATTTCCATTAAACACCGTTACTAGCAATGTTGGAAATTGTATGTTTAAAATGGCTCAAATGACATCTCTTTTTATAGTAAAATGCTCCAGTATTCAGTTTCATCTACTAAACTACTACATATATCTTCCCTTTCAAAGCTATCTGTAACAGGGTTAAAAACTTTTTTCCAAAGCTATGCTGTTTACTGTATCCCTTTAAAAGTGTCACAATCTTACACTCTTACATTTCTCAATAAGTTCCCTCTTGCTGATATTCACCTGCTACATTCTAAAGTAAAAGAAAAATAATTAAAAATTTACATAAATAAAATTATACAAACAACTTGATCTCCAATTTCCATGAATTTGGGTTGCTGAGAAATAACATTACTTCTTTTGATTACTATCTATTTTAACTATAAGAGGAAGGTAAGGAAAACAGTGCTCTGAAGAACTGTATGCGTATGACAGTATGAAAGTTACTGAGTGTGTTAGAGTACTGTGTGCACGTGTAGGGCACAGCTTAAAAAGAATACAAGTAAGAAAATGCAACCATTAAGATGCACCTCACAGTAGAAGACTCAAGGGTCTTGATATCTTTTGTTCAGGGAGGTGAGGCTGAGAGGACTTGATAGTGTTTAAGAAGAGTTGACATTTCTTCTGAGGAACCAGCTTTTATAACAGAGGCATCTGTAAAGAAAGCTGTGAGGACGGTGAAATGTTCAATTGACTGGAAGCTTATGCTTAGGCATATTTAGATCAATGATGTACATTCTTATCAGTGATAATATTAGCTGTTGAAATCAACTTGTAAGAAGTTGGAATTGACTTTCCATTGCTGAAATGTTGAAAACTTGGTCCATTCTGGGGAAAAAAAAAAAAGTGCTCAGGATCCAATAAAAATAAGTTCAGTGTGTAGCTTCTGGTATTTCAGCAAGATGCCAAATTAAGCAAGAGCCCCAAGACCTGTTTTGAGTTTAGGGCTAAGCAGAGGTATTCTTTCTTCCTTGTAATGTACTTCCACTCCACACATCAACGCTCTTTACTTTTATCTTACTGATGTTTGCTCCCACGGCTCCTTACAGGTACTGACGAGGGACTGTGTGGAAATGCCTACCAGGCTGTGGGTAGTTAGAAATGGTTTGAGCTGCCTCAAGGATGGAAAGGTGTTAGTGTTAGTGTGATGCTGAATGTGGGAAGGATGGTGGGATGATGAAAGGTTTTCAGAAGCTTTTTGTTGTTGCTAGGTTCTTAAGAACTGCCCTTGCTTGGGTTTTCTTCCAGGTTGCCCTCAAATAGATTGTCAGAATAGATTTTTTTCTGTCTTGAGAAATGAAACAAACCCTGTATTTACAGGCAAACGGGGAAGTGTACTAGCTTATTGTTTATTTAAAAGACTGTAGGAGGGGAAAATAATCTGGAAAAATGTAGCTATCTCAGAAGAATTGCTTTTTAAATGATATTCTCAAGAGTTTGGGTTGCTTTTTATTTAATAGTTATTTTGGCTTATTCATCGGCTAGCTTTTTTGTTTTGGAACAGACTTTTTTACCATGCTGTGAATGTGAGAGATGTTTGTATGCTGTGAAGTATTTTCTTAATCATTTGGTTGGATTGTTGTTGTTTTGTTTTGATGAATATTTTACTCAGGAGAAAGCGAATTCCTAACCTCAGTTCCAAATGGACATTTTCATTGGAATTGGTTCTGTTTAAATTTCCTAACAAATTACTGATGATCCACTTTCCTCTTTACATGCCCTCGTCTTCATAGTGGTGACGTTCTTGTATGTCTCAAGGCCATCAGTCCTAGAGTCCAACCATATGCGTTTCCCCTATCTCCAAAGTCCTCCTGGCTGTCCTCTTCTTGCCTTCTTGCTGTAGTCCCTTTTTCTGTTGCATCTCCTTTTCCTCCACACCCACAAACATTTCTTGTACCTTTCCCACCAGCCTGTTTTCTGCTGTCTGCCTTTTAGGATGCAGTCATGGTACTTTGAACACTGCAGTCCTGTGGCTGCAGAAGGCTGAAGAAGTGTTGTAGCAATTTAAGATCTGTGAAAGTAGGGAAGTCTCCTAATTTAGAAACAAGTCTTCAACTGCTCTGAATGTCCACTTCATTCTCTTTTGCTATTTAATTGTGTGCCAGTCACCTTTTCTTCTCAATATTTAGCTTATTTACCAAGATTGTATTTCTGTAGGAATATACTGGACTTTCACTATTCTACATGACTACATGCTGAATAACAGTGTCCTGTGGGTGCAGATCTGCTTTTAACTAGCAATGATTCTGTCTGAGTGAAATAGCATTGAACCATGGTTTATTCTTTTCAGGGTTTCAAACTATGACATCTTCTGGTATACCCACAACCTTTTCTTTGTCTTCTATATACTGCTGATGCTGCATGTTTCCGGGTAAGTAAATGAAAAATACTGTCCCTTTTCCTGAAGCACAGGAGCTGTTCTCTTAACTTGTTTTTCCTGAGATGTCTCATGCAACATAGGCCACCTTCTTGACAAGATACTGTCATCTTCAGTTCTTCAAAAAGTTTTTTTTTTAAAGTAAAGTTCAGACTGTAATTGGAGAATCAGCTAGCACAAATTTCTTCACTTTGAAGTTCATCTATTGTCCATTTTACCATTTTCTACAGGGAAATCAAGATAACATTTTTTCTTTACGTGCCCTATCACCTGTTTGCTGAGAGGCAGCTAAGAAGTTGCTCATCCCTTTCTCTTTAGTCTCAATCTTCCATTTTCAACCCTAAGAAGAGAGAAGGAATGGCCTCTCTATTGCTCATTGCTTTAATAAGAAACTTTCTTACTGTTTTCACAAACATGAGATGCTGATACGTCATCAGGATGGTTTCTTCTGGTGAGGTCCAAAAAACCCAGATCTACTGAAGGGTAAAGCAGCTTTCACAAACTATGCTGTGTGGAAATGTGGTCCGCTAACATGAACAAACTTTCCTCTGTGAATGTAAGTGCAGAGTTTGATATAGGAAAGAGAAGGTATATTTGAACAAGGTTAATTTCTGTGTGTCATCAAATACCTATTGAAACGTGGAACACTGGAATGTCTGCACAGCTCTGAGCACTGCTGTTTAAACAGTAAAAGGTAATTAGGCCTAGCCAGATCACAGTAGGAATATGTTGTTGAACAAAATAAACGCAGCTTGAGATCTGCTGAATTGAAATAATGAGTTGAAAACATTGAAACTTGTGGATATAATTCTGGTTTTCTGTGGGTTTTCTGTCTTTTATTTTTCTTTTTTCTGTGGCATGGGTCTGGCAAAGGTGAATCTAATCTGCTCTCCCCTTCCTGGGGCAGGTAGAATTTTTGCTAAATTATTTCTGACAGGTGTTTTCTTCTTGAGAACCTCTGATGACTGAGATTTTCTTACCTTTTCTTACCTCTTTAGGCTGTCAGTTTTAGTGATTACCTTATAAGTATTTCTCATGTCCAGTTTAAATCATCTCTGCCTTATCCTTTCCCCATTGTCCTCTCAGCCATGTTGCCACTTCCTGAAAGAGGGAGACTAGTTGGACAAGTCTGCAAACCAAGACTGCAGGAATCCAAGCACTGAAGAGGCATCTCCTCCTACAGAGACTCTTTAGTGATGAACTGGGAGATCTTTCAGAATGTATCTGAAAGAACTGAGAATCAGATGAAAGTAAGAGAAAGTTGAGTCATGGAGAGTGGGAGTCAGTTAAAGTTTAAGATGCCCAAATTTAGATCTCTGCATGTTTTCTGAGTGTTTACCTCCCATTGTAATCAAATGAGTTCTAAGAAATACAGCCTATGGAGCCTGGAGAAAGCTTAAGCTAATCTGCTACAAACATGTACATGCAAGTGATCTGGATTGATTTCTGGGCTCCATTTGTTATACTGATTGGAAGATCTATTCTGAGAATAAAGAAAAATTTGACTGTCATTTTTATGTGCCCAACTGACTCCTACATGGTACGTCTAAGGGATGCATAGTCAGCTAGCCTACAGAGCAAGACACTCCTATGACTGGACGGTGTAGGCAGAATGGGTGAGGATTTACCTATTTTGAAATCTGTTCTATGAGTGTTCCTACAGTATTCTTAGATTGTTGCCTTGTTTCAAACCATTATGAGTATGTTCTTATTGTATCCTCATTTTCAGGGTAGCCAGACACTTCTCAGCAATATATGAAGTGATATGATTCATTCGTCATATATTACTGGTTTGTTCTTTTATCTTTACCAAAAAGAAGAGAAGAATATTTGGGGGAAATTATCCTTAAAGACTTTCCTTCATCTTGTATTTCTTGCAACATGACTTTCAGATATTTTAGTGGCTTAGGGCTTGCTGCATATCTACACTAATTTATCTATATTTTAAACCTTTAGTAGCAGCAACAAAAAGAATCTTATGTAAAATGAAAGCGTGATGTTTCTATTACCAATTAATTCCAGGAGGTACAAAATCCACAAAGCATTTTGAACCAAAAACTCAGTTGATCCTAATTTGTTATTAACAGAGTTAACTCAATAGAAGCTAGAATAAGGCCTTTGTGCTGTTGCTAGAATTATCCAAGGGTTTATCTCTGGAAGGGTGAAAATTCCAGACATCAGTCTTTAGCAGAGAGAGGAGCCCTCAAGCAGCTGACCTTGAGCTCAGCAGCAGAAAACAGTTGCGAGAATAGGAGCAGTGTAATTACCTATAAAACCTCAGTGATTTTTGGCATATCGTAAAAGCCAGAAGTAAATGTTACCTCTGCTTTTAGGGTGAAAAACTGGGGCAGAGATTGCTGTATGCCCATGTGAATAGTCTAAATGCTCAGCATGTCAGCCACTTCCATGTGGCTCATCCTTTTGCTAAAGATGTGTATCTCCCACTTATCGATATCCACAGCGAGATTTCATGGGTGCAAATGTTGTACTAAATAAATACACAAGAGTATATCATAGACTCCTTATGGAAAACTCATCATTTCTGGGAAATGACCTTGCACATGTGAGAACACTTGTATTTCCCTGGCATCTTCAGAAACGGAAGTCACTGCAGCTGCCAATGGAGGCAGCTTTGTTTTCCCAGTTTGCCACTCAGATAGCATGTTTGTAATAGTTTGAACAATTTAGAGATTACTGGAGGAAATGCTCATGTTTGCAGTTCAGCTATTTGTGTCATAGGAAAAACTTCGAATCCCTTTTTGGGATGTCTAGAGGCCAGAGAAGCTGTGTGAGCAGCTGGCAGGCATACATATGAGGTTGGTTGGAAAAATGCTGTACGGGCTGTGATTTCCAGCTAAATCTATCAGGCACCATAATGTTTATGGAGCAGGGAATTCACTTAATGCTTAGGGTCTCTGTCACTTTGCAAGTATGGAGTGAGCAGCAATGAATGCAGACACAAATGATAGGGATGATTGGGCAACAGATACAGCCTGAAACATGGGTGTAGACAAACAGAAATTGTCAGGTGATTCTCCAAGGGTCAGACATGAGATTTAGGGTAAGTTTAACTTCCAACCTGTACATCATTCACAGGAACAAGTGGGAAGCATGTTACCAACTGTTGATAGAGAAGGATGCCAGTAGCTGGTCAGAGGCCATTTCAGTTAGGAATGTTGCAAATGTCTCCTACTTCTCTCTGTCCTTGTGAATTAGATTCTGTCACTTTTGCTGCTGCTGTGCGTGTATTCTTATTGTGTACTTAAGCCTTCTGAACATGCCCAAGCACTTGTCAGACCTTGTGCCAATTTCTCTCTAGGCACCATCTTATCCATCTTTTACTGTCATCAAATTTGGATTGGAAGCATGGAATACTCCTGGGGAGTTTTATTACTATTATTATCACTTCTTCCCCTCTTTCAGTGATTCATGAGTGTATTGAGATATCCTAGAGTGTCTTAGATTTCCATTTCTTTCTTTATGGTTTCTAGCTGAAGCTGCAAAATTCTCACTTGATTATACTACATGTTTAATTTCAGATTGAAATGAGCAAGGAGCCCAAAAACAATTTTCAAGATAAGGTAGTTCTGCATGATAGATCCTTTCTATTTTTTTTCTTCTTACCTTTTGACAGTTTGATATTCAAAGAAGCAGTCATGTTCACAAATGATGCCTTTGCATGTAAACTTGATACACATCACGTAGTGGGAACATTACTGCAGTTTATGTTTTGGCAATTTAAGACATTTCTGCTGCAGTTTGCCTTAAAAACAAAACTTTCTGACTGTGGGAAGATTGACTGAAAACAACCTGGATGGGAAGGAACTGCAAATGTGCTTATTTAGTTTTTCTTCAAGGCTCCCACAGCATCTCTACTTTTCAAGCAGTATTAAACTTGAGGCTGTTCAGTGTAGAAGTGCCAAGTGAGATAGAGAAGTTAATCCTTGCCTCTAGTGACAGAAGGCTCTATAGTTAAAAAGGTTCAATCTCACCGAAAGCAAGTGGTATAAAATCATTGAATCGTAAAATGGCTTTGATTGGAAAGGACCTTAAAGAACATCTGGTTCCAGCTCCACTGCTTTAGCAGGGTTTCCACACCCAGCATTAAACTGTACAGGACCCCATCTGTCCCGGCCTTAAAAGCTTCCAGTGGTGGGGCATCCAGAATTCCTGAGCAACCTGTTCAGTGCCTCGCAACCGTGTGAGTGAAGAATTTCTGCCTGACATCTAACTTAAATCTCTCCTCTCAGAATAAAACTACCCCCCCCCCCCCTTGTCCTATCCCTATTAGACTGTGTAAAATGTCACTCTCCCTCCTGTTCATAAGCTCCCTTCAAGTACTGGACAGCCACAATTAGGTCTTACCAGTGCAACACCTTGGTCTTGGCCTTGTTGAACCTCATTTGGCACTTGTGGGCACATTCTTTGAGCCTATTCTGGTGCGTCTGGATGGCATCCCATTCTTCCACTGTATAAAATGTTGCACTCAGCTTAGTGTCATCAGCAAACTTGTTCAGGGTGCACTCAGTCACACTGTGCTGGCTTCTGAGCACCCGTCCCAAGATGGACTGCTAAGGGATACCACTAGTTACCAGATTTCATAAATCTGTTGGCTACAGCCATCCAACCATTTATTCATCTGCGAAATAGTCCAGTCTTCAAATCGGAGATAAGGATGTGATGCAGGACCCTATCAAAGATTTTGCACAAGTCCAGGCAGACGACTTCACTTGCCCTTCCTTTTTAGGTGATGTCATCACTCCATCATAGGTGGCCACCAGATTGGTCAGGCATGATCTGACTGTGATGCAGTCATGCTGGTTGTCTCAGATCATTTGCTTGTCTCACATGTGCTTTAACATAGCTTACAGGAGGGTCTTCTCCATGATCTTCCCAGTCACAGGCATGAGGATCCCGGGTCTTCCTTTCTTTCTGTCTTAAAAATGGGAGTGATCACCTGACAGCTGTGACTTCTCAAATATAGAAGATGAGCATTGTGACAGCTTTCTAAAATCCTCTCCGAATTAAGAGAAGTTGCTTGGTTTGAACTGTTACTTCAGTATCTTTTGTTATTTTTCTTTTCCTGTAGGGGAGTGCTCAAGTACCAGACCAACTTAGAGGAACACCCACCTGGTTGCTTTAATCCTAACAAAACGCTGCTAGGGAATATGACAGTGCCGAAGCCTTTTGAAGAGCTGTTTCCTGACTATACTACTGAGCCTTTCCCAGAGGACTTAACATTTCCAGAACCCTTTGTACAAAGTAACTTTATGAGAATTTGTTCCAAGGAACCCAAGTTTCAGTCGCACTTCCCAGAGGTCTGTATGATCCGACATTTCAGGTATTACAAGCCATGCCAAGTCTTTCAGTCAGCCATAACCACTAATTATTGCTTTTCCAGACCAGATGTTTTAATAATGGAAAATATTATTAAAACCTTTTCAGGCATTCAGAGATCTGGTGGGGAAAAAAACAATCTGTATTAAATCTTGTATTGCATTAAAATGTGGTGCACAGAAAAGGGTGGAAAAATATCAAGAGATTGACTGTAATGGTTTTTTTTTTTGTACATGATAAAAGGTGTATTGGTCTTGCTACAAATGTGACCTTAAATTACAGCATAGTAGTTCAGAGCAAACATTTATATAACATTCGTATGACTCTTTTCTTTGAATCGTTTGGCATTAATTAATTGAAATAATCAGATTCCACTTGTTCTCTCTTTTAACCATGTGGCTTCAAGTCCTAATAGCATTTCTGGGATGTGGTTGGTTGTGGTTTGGCTTTGTGTAGTCTCTTGTTTGCTGAGAATACTACTATAAGTGGAATTGGTAAATGAATATGATGATAGTGCGGACAGACAAGCCTTCTGTTTTCCTTTATTTCCTCTTGTGTTTTTATGCTTTGTGCAGGATCTTTGTCTTCATCCAGATTTGCTCATTTCTTTTCAGAAAAGATGAGCGGAGCTATATGAGCAAGTAGCCTCAGGAGGCTTGGGAATACTGTATTCTCAAGTCTAAGGCCTATCATAACAGACTTTACAAGAGCTTCTCCTTATCATTACTACTGTTTTCTTGTAAGGTCCTTTTGCCCCAGAGAGGTGGTGGATGTCCCATCACTGGAAACATCCAGGGTGAGGTTGGATGGGGCTCTGAGCAGCTGATCCAGCTGTAGGTATCCCGGTTCATTGCAGGGGAGTTGGACTAGATGGCCTTTAATGGTCCCTTCCAACTCAAACCATTCTATGATTCTGCTAGCTGCAGGGGTAACCCATTTTACCACTGAGCATGTATTCATAATAACAAGCAGTCAATACTACACAGAAGCCCTCCAATAAAGTCCTTTGGATTTGTATTTTGTTAACTCTTGCTAACTAACTGCTGGGATGGGATTTTGCTACAAATGTGTTCATCTGAGCTGGTCACTCTACGGGCACTTCCAGGAAACCATTTGTGCTATCATATGCATCTTCCACAAAGACAATTGAACAGTGCTTTAACTTTCCATTTCTTTCACTTTTCTGTACTCTTTTCTACAAATTCGCACAAGGATTGCTTGTTCTTCTTAACTTTTTGCATGTACTTTAGATAATTAAAATAAGGTAATTGTCTCATAGTACTGCAAGTCAGATAGTGTTCTTCCTTGGAAGTTAACCAGTTCTACAGTGTTTTGGTCTGTTAGATTTTGAAATGGTCTATGTACTTTGTGATTCACTTCTGAAAACAGTTGCAATCCAACTGCATAACACCAGAGTAACTTGGTGACAAATGAGATAAATAGCATTTTATTCCTGATTAGTTTTATGAATGAAATCATTCGTGCTTGTGGATGCTGCTGCCAGTTAATCTGATTAAGTTCCCATGATGTGCTTGGATTTCTGTGTGTGGAAGGATGTGGAGATGACTTGTGATCAAACACTGTTCTGCAATAAATGAGAAATGAGATCCTGCAGGTGCTCATGTAATTTTAAAATTAGAAAATGTAAAATGAAGTGGCTTAGAATGAAACAAAATTAAATGTCCACTGTTCTCCCATAGACTTGGTTTTGGATTTCTGGACCTCTGTGCTTGTACTGTGTAGAAAGACTGTACCGCTACATCCGCAGCAACAAGCCAGTCACAATAACATCAGTGATAAGCCATCCCTCCAATGTCCTCGAAGTAAGGATGATCAAAGATGACTTCCGAGCAAGGCCTGGTCAGGTCAGTTAATGTGCCCCTAAAACAAGTCACTGTTGTTCATGTCGCACCTTCTGCAGGGATGACTTTCCCTTTCTGTGTACTAATCCATCACTGAATGTTTTGGACATATATTTTCTTTATTTTATTTTTTTCTTTTTGATTTTCAGTATGTTATTCTACACTGTCCGAGAGTGTCTGGACTGGAAAGCCATCCATTCACCCTTACAATGGTAAGAAATAAGAGCTTTTTTCTGTACATTCCCATTTATTTGTATTTGGTAAACAAAAGGTCTTTATTGCCTTCAAAGTGGAAAGTCCTTCAGGAGAGCTTATTTTTGATTAATGAGGATACCAATGAATATGAAATGGCATGATTATTATGTATGATAGTACTCAATATATATTCAATTTTCCCCACTGTTGAGAAAATAATAAGGGGAACTTTTTTCAAATTCTTCCGTAAGTAAAAAACATAATAAATAAATAGAATCCATGTGGTATTTAGTCATTCTATTTCATAAGTGAAGTTTTACCATCTGTTTGTAGACATTAATACACAATGAACATGAACTCAGATGAATTTTTGGTGGATTTTTTGCTGTTAATCAAAATGAACAGAGATTCTTCAACAACCTTCTCCAAACAGAGTTAGAAAAGCATCAAGGTTTGGTTTATTGTTTTGTTTTTAAAATAGTTTCCCTCAATAGTTTTTTTCTAAAATGTTTCTAAAGTAGTCTTCTGCTTTATTATTGTAAGAGATACATCAGTGACTTAGTCATATATGAGTAAGGGTGTGGGTCTACAGGGGTGACATCTTGGTGGGGGTCTGTTACAGACTGCCTAAGCAGGATGAAGAGAAGGACCAGAATTCTGTGAGCAGCTTGCAGAAGTTGTGCAATCACCAGCACTTGTTCTTATGGGAGACTTCAACTTCCCTGCTATGTGTTGGAAATATAGTATAGTGCAAGGAAAGAAGTCCAAGGGGTTTCTAGAGTGTATGAAAGATATGCAGACAGTACGAGAGCCTACCCGGGTGGTGCCATGCTAGACCTGCTCTTCACTAACAGAAAAGGACTGGTGGGAGATGTGAAGGCTGTGGACTGTCTTGGGCAGAGCGACCATGAAACTGTAGAATTCTCTATTCTTGGAGATGTCAGAAGCTAATCTGCTATCTTGAACTTCCTGAGGGTAGAATCTGACCTGTTCAGGATGCTTGTTGCAGGGGTCCCTTGGGAGTTGCTCCTTAAGGGTAAAGGTTTCTAGAAGGACTGGACACTCCTTAAAGGCACAAGAACAGGCTGTTCCTGAATGCCATAAAGTGAGCCATAGGGGAAGAAGACTGGTGTGGATGTGCTGAGAACTGTTGTTGAGATTCCAGAAGAAAAAGAGGTGAATGGGATGAGGTTCAATAACGCCAAGTGCCGGGTCCTGCACTTTGGCCACAACAACCCCAGGCAGCGTAACAGGCTTGGGGATGAATGGCTGGATGAGCGTGAAGAGGAAAGGGACCTGGGGGTGTTGGTTGATGCTTGGCTGAACATGAGCTGACAGTGTGCCCAGGTGGCCAAGAGGGCCAACGGCATCCTGGCCTGCATTACAAATAGTGTGGCCAGCAAGAGCAGGGAGGTGATCATCCCCCTGTACTCAGCACTGGTGAGGCCGCACCTTGAGTACTGTGTTCAGTTTTGGGCCCCTCACTACAAGGAAGACATTGAGGCCCTGGAGCGTGTTCAAAGAAGGGCAACGAAACTGGTGAGGAGTCTGGAGCTCAAATCTTATGAGGAGTAGCTGAGGGAATTGTGATTGTTTAGTCTGGACAGGAGGAGGCTCAAGGGAGACCTCATTGCATGCTATAACTTCCTGAAGGGGGAATGATGAGGTTGCGATGAGGAGGGATTTGGCCTCTAATCCCAGGCAACAAACAGGACTCGAGGAAACGGCCACAAGTTGTACCAGAGGAGGTTTAGATCAGATATAAGGAAAAACTTTTTCTTTCAGAGAATAGTGAGGCACTGGAATGGCTGCCCAGGGAGGTGGTGGAATCGCCGTCCCTGGCAGTGTTCAGGAGGTGTCTGGATGAGGAGCTATGAGATATGGTTTAGTGCTTGTGGTACTAATAGGAATGGCAGGGTGGTTGCACTAGATGATCTTGTAGGTCGTTTCCAACCTTGTGATTCTATGATTCTATGATTCTATGAGTGAAGTTGTAGAACACTGGGATTATTACTTCCTCAGCTCAATTTATCTAGAATGCGGTTTGGGTCCAAAGGAGATGGATTGGAATAAGATGAAATGGTACATTAATATACCCAAAGTTCTTGAGGAGTGAGCCATACAGAGTCCTTAGAGATGCTGCAGCAGAGTCTAGGTTGGAATATTAGTGGCAGAGTTTTCCTTTCAGTGGCAATATACACTGAAATAGGTCCTGTCCACTTCCAGTTCTTTGTTTTTTTTGTGGTTTTGTTTTGATGTATCTGAGTGCCAGGCAGGCAAGCTAATACTGTCACAGTTCAATCCACAGTGCTTTCCACTAAAATAAACTTTTAGTTGTACACCTTGTACAACCAAATCTCCTAGAGAAAGCTGCCTCTGTATAGCTTGATGAAGCAGTACTGGCATTTGCAAAGCTTAACATTTGCAAAATGCTTTTGGCTAGCTGCATTAACAGTAGAAAGCAAAGCCGTGTGTTATTTATCTGTTACTAGCTCCAGTAAGCCATTTTAAGGCACTCTCTAGAGCACCTAAACATAACAAGATATGTAGTGCTAAAAATGATATATATGCAGTACTGATGGAATGGTAGCTAGATTTTTGTGCAGGATTACTTAGTTCATATTTATTTATATTTATGATTGATTCAGCAATCAGAAGATGAATTTGAAACACTCAGCATAATCCACAGATTGCTCTTCATGTTCATTTGACAGTAGCATAGATATATTTATTAAATAACCTTAAATAAGTTACACCTGTTGTGTATTAGCAGATGTCCCTTGTATAAATGTTAATCTCAAAATATCTTGTTCTTATTTTCAGTCTGTTCAACTCAATGGAATTTAAAATAATAGTAATATTTTCATCATTAATAATAGTTACACAGTTTGGAAAATACAAAGCTCTCAAAGGTATACTCTCCTTGTATTAGGACACTGGTTTGTGTGGTACTGATAGAACTAATGTCATCAAAAAATGTTAGACCTTGTTCAGCAGTCTTTCTCTGGCAAAACTTCTTACTTGTTTTTCAGAGTTATTTTTCAGAAAAAAAAAAAGACTGCTGACATGGAACAATGTGATTAGATCATGGGTTAAATAGGGTGTTTTATTAAAGTTGGATTCTTTGCATGCGTTGAGGATTTCATCTGTAGTTTAAAATGGCGTACTGTAATATTGCTTGTTATTAAAAAAATGATTTTTGAATGAAAGCTTCTAAATTTAGGAGCTATGAAAAACATCTCGTTCTGAGTGTCTTATTGAATATAAATAAGTAATTTATATTCAGTTTTTGTACCTTTCATTTCAGTTAAATACACAATTCTACTTGATAAATTGCAGGTGGTGTAATTTTTACATGTATATTAGATGTGTAACGTTAGAACTGGCCAGTTCCACTCCATTTCCACAGTGTATCACACACACGCGCGTATATATATATATATATAATGCATATATATAATACCAGACCTGGCAATTTCTATTCATGCTGAATGCTTTATACTTTAAAGTACAGTGATATCCTTCAGCATAACTGTTGGAAGATTGTATGTGTATTTTAATTATTTTAAGATAAGAAATTTTGAGATAGGAATTTACTACTAGGTTTCTAACTTTCATTTTTTTTTTTATTGCTACAGATGTACAGATCCTCAGCTATGCTAGAGAAAAAATGTCTGTTTTACAGCATCATGAGGATTTTAAATGTCTGGGTTTGCGAGTGCGAGTCTTCTTGCCCAGTGTAAGCAGGGGACAGTCATTTCCATGTCTTTTTAGGTCACAGAACATGTCTTGGGCTGCAGTACTGCACAGAAAGCATTTTCTGATCTAATACGATTCCAGACATGGGATTGTGCTTATAGAGTGTGTATGCAATGTCTTCGCTGGGTGTTTTTTTGTCTGCTTTCATCTGACCTACTTGTTTTTACCTAGCAAGCTGGAAAACTACTGCTCCTTTTTTTCAGTGATGGTAGTCCCAGGATTACTCTTCTTGGCTAGTACAGAAACATGGGGCTAAAAGCCCTAATGAAAGCTTTTGGGTGCTGAATTGCAATGCAACGTTGCCTGCAGCAGGTGTGGAGAAAGGTTGCAACTTTCTCCCTAGCACCGTTGTGCTGTTTGGTGCTCAAAAGAGAAATGAGTAGTTCAGGCTTAGCACTTCACTCAGCCAACACTAAGTAGAAACAGAAAGGAAGGGGTGATTTGGCCTGAAGGAGTCATGCTGATGTTTTACTAGTCCCTTCCCTTTTAGAGGTTATGTAATATTTACAGTTTAGCTCACTCTCTTACATAATGCCAGGGTGGAGGAAAACTCTGGGAGACCGCACAAAAGGGCCTGAGCCCACTCTTATTGTATTCTTGTAAAGCTCCCATGTATTTCAGTCGGAGCCAGAGGGAGCTATGAATTTTAACTGAGTGAACATAAAGATGTGGGCATTGTTCAGAAATGTGTGCAGTGGTGTTTGTTTTCTTTTCCCTTTTGTCAACTGAAAGCATTCCTCCCTGTGATGGTAGAAGGAATGAGCAGAAGTAATTGGTGCAGAGTGCACACAGGAATTTGGAGGAGCAAAACTCATGTTACTCTGATCTCAGAGCTGCCAATCTGGCTTCCTTTCTATCAACTGACTTGGTTCTGCTGTCAAAAACTTTATGTGACAAAATCATACAGTGGTTGGAAGGGGCCTCCGGGTCCATCTGTTCCAACCCCCACTCCAGTAGGGACACCCAGAGCAGGGTTGCCCAGGGCCATGTCCAGGTGGCTCTGGAAGGTCTCCAAGGAGGAGACCCCACAGCCTTTGGGGGCAACCTGTGCCAGTGCTCCATCAGCCGCACAGCACAGAAGTGCTTCCTGGTGTTCAGAAGGAACCTCCAGTGTTCCAACCTGTGCCCACTGCCTCTTGTCCTGGCACTGGGCACCACTGACAAGAGCCTGGCTCCATCCAGTTTGCACCCTGTCTGCAGATATTGATGAACATGGATGACACCCCTCTGAGCCTCCTCTTCCCCAGGCTGAGAAGTC